CTCTCTCTCTCTCTCTCTCTCTCTCTGCTCACCGCAACTGAAGCGTTCCATCGAATTTCGATAATCATATTAGCCTACGGCACTTTTTATACCTCGGTTGGTGTTATTATGTGTGATGGAAGAACGGCGGCGATCGAGCGGGGAATTAACAATCATCTAATTACTCCCGGTCAGCTGATACTCGCTCGACGAATAAATATGGGGGAGGGGAAGATAGGGATTTATCGCGTCAACGTCTGGCGAGAAGAAAGGAGGGGGTCAAAGTATGGTCAAACGTTTTAAATGGACTGGACGGTTATTCGGGTACCGAGATACTTAACGTTCGACCATTCCTCAACATCTATTCCACGTGTTTCCCGAGGAAGCTACGCGATGCACCACCATTCACACGCATCCACCATTATGTCTTCCTTTCGCATTATCTTGGCATTGATTAACGAACCTCGACCGTGAACAAGAACTCGGGGAAGAGGGAGTAAGCCGTGAAATGGACTCGAAATGGATCGAATTTGCAAACGCCGGCTCTGTCGATACGCGCCTTCGTGATTCGGCACCTCTTCCATTTTCCCATACTTTTCGAACTTTGGAAGGTCGGAAGAAACGTTCGTGAGATTTTTTTTTTTTTTGCAAATCTTTTCATTTTCGTGGCTCGTATAATCGAGGAAGAAAAGTAATAAGGAAGGAGGATCGGGAGAAGAACGATAAGAAACGATAACGCGAGCATGAAACAATCGCATTTGATTAAAGGAGGGCACAAGGGTTCGTGGAACAGAAAAGGAGTGGTTCTCTCGGATTGATTTTTCTCTAAGTGGCTTGTACAACCCTCCAGGCCTGTTTAAAGTGGCTCTAAGAAAGCGGAAGAGTTGTATAACAGATTTCCAGTGCACGAAAGAGGGCCATAACGCGTCAAAATGATACACGAGGTCCTTGTAGCGCTATATTTCTCTCGGTCGTGAGAGGGCGAAGGCGGAAGGAAAGGCAAAGGCAAACGCAGGGGAAAGGGTTAATATTCCATGCGGTGAGTTTATTGGGGGAAGAGGAAGGGAGGGAGGGAGGGAAAGGTCAGTCGTGTGTGTTGTATAATTTGACTTTGCAGCGGGGCCTGAATAATCGATACCCTACCACGTAACCGTGGCCCGATACCCGGAAACAGAGGCGAGACTGATCGAGAGTTTAAATTGGGTGGAAGTATTTCGCCTCTTCTCGCTCCGTGTGTGTGTGCGTTCCGCGCGCGTCGTCACGGCCAGCCACGACACGATCGTGTATGCACCTTCAGAAGCGAACAAATAGCCCCAACACCACCACCAACCATTGAATTACCCGGCTCAAAAGACGCGTTATATACGAGCTTAATGTATGCGCGTCAGAGTCTATCACGCGTCACGAATATTTCCGAGTTTATCCATCTCCCATCTCGCCCGATAAATTCATCCCCAACTTCAAGCTTTCTCGTCCAATCGTTCCTCTCGTGAAGAGAGGACGAAATCGGTATACGTGTATTTTCCAGGGATACCTATCTCCCCTCCTCCTTTCCATCGTGATATCGCGACGAACGAATCGGCGTATATGAAAAGAGAGAAAGGAAAAAAAAAATGATGGAGGAAAAAGTAAGAAAGAAAAAAGAAGGAAGAGAACAATTTTCCGCGTTTCTTCCACCCTTTTGCCCGCCCCGTTCCTTTAATTAATTTTGTTTACAATAGAAACGAAGGGTTGGTCGCGAAACCCGTGTACATATAAATATATACACACACTCGTTGCACGTTGGGATTTAACCAGTCGTCCAAAAACTTGTAACAAGCATTTTCCCTGGGAGGCCCCGCGTCACAGAGGCGGTCGACCAAAAATCCAGGCGCGCGCGGGGTGGTTGTACACGTACGTTGGCCGGCGTTTTTCGGCCGGCCCACCGGCATTCGCGTTGAAATTAGAGGGTGTTACGCGAAAGCACGAAACGATGTAAAGGGAATGCGTAATAGTTGTTATCGAAAATGCCGGCGCGCGCGTACCACGCATTCCTGGATAACGTTTGTCGTTTGTCGTAGCCACGGCGATAAATTGACATCGTTGATGGAAATAAACGTCGCGTCGCCCCGTTATTATGCGACCGCGAGACGCGTATGTGTAAAAGTTGGCCGCGTGGAAAATGGGGGAGGGGAGAGAGAGAGAGGAGAGGCGATGGGAAATACGGCGTCAGGGCGGGATTACGTGGAAATTCTCTACTTACACTGTAGATTATTGTAGGACAGAGATTGTCGTCGCATCCTCCCCTGGCTCGTTGCCTTTCTTCGATTGTTCACCCGACACCACATGTTCACTTGCACGTACGACCACAGCTTGAGAAAGAGGACGGCGTACAGCATGCACACGTACATAGCACCGACTGAAACAACGGAATTAATTATATGTATATCTGTATAACATTTCAAATTATCGCGACAGCTTATCTTCGGTCGTAATATCTCTGCTTTGTATTTCTCACGTAATATATGTGAATTTCCAATTTCTGTGGATCGCAGATATCTGCAACCTGCGAATGGCAAAGTTATTTTTAGACGCGATATTTATTTATTTTCAACGTACGTTTCGATATGTATATATATATATATAATTCGTCACTCGGAAATTCTCTGAAAATGGGATATCATATTCATTTCGCTTTATTAAAGATGTGTGTTTTCGGTAAATTTCGAAAAATTTTTTTCAAAATAACGCGAAACTGGATCATCGTGAATCGGGAAAGTCAAGAAAATCGAGTTAATCTCCGTTGAAACCATTTTATCCATTGATCGTGAAGTCGTAAACGTGTCGATCACGGGACCTATTAATGTCATTTATAAAATTCTAATCAAATTTTGAATGAAAGATCTTTCTTAAAAACATAGTCGTAACCGAGTCGATCGTGAACCCATTTTTGTCGAGCTCAAGGAACAATATTTATATCCGCGCTTTAAGCGTAACACCGATAAGAAAACAATATCTTCGAGCATATCGATTTTTAATCAAGAAGAGCGAACATAGCCAGACACTGGAAGGGAAATTTACATTCTGGGAATTTCATTAAACAAATTCTGAAAAGTCCGCATCGTTCGTTATCTCTCCCCGCGTACCAACGTTCCTTCCTTCCTTTCCTTTTCTTATAATAAAAAAAAAGAACAAGATGGAAGAACAAAGAGGGATGTATGTGTAGAGAGAGAGGAGAGAGGGAGACGATAGAGGAGAAAGGAGAAGAAGAGAGAAAAAAACGGTCATGTTGGCAGATTGGGATGATACGACGTGCGACTACATTTTAATCATCGCAATTTTATACACCTCCGGGAACGTGACAGCGGATACATCTGCGCGAATAAAGCATACGCTGTTACACCGGATGTACGTGTCCGAATGTGGCAATTAAAGGGTTTATAAAACACGGTATTACGCATTCACGGCCGTCAGTTTCATCCCTGCTGAATTTATCCTTGTTCTATCTCTTCCTCCTCTCCCTCTCTCCCTCCCCTCCTTCTTCCCTCCCCTTTTTTCGCACCGCCTCTTTCATACTCGATGCATTTCAACGCGGTCTCGGAGCGTCGAACGCATTCGTAATGATTAAAAGGGTTGGGAGAAAATGACTCCTCGCAATTTTTTTCTCTCTCTCTCTCTCTCTCTCTCTTTCTCTTCGCTTCTCTCGTTTGACCAGAGGAAAGATCGAGAGCACGTCTCCTTTCCCCAAAGGAGGCCCGACTTTCCTCGTGACTTCATCCCGACCTAGCCCGCGTTTAATTATGGCGAACGGTATTTGCATCGGGATCTTAAGAATGTCAGTTATTATTATGCGGTGCCAGTAACGGGTGCTAGTACAGCTAATGGCACGGAATTATAGACGATGACGAAGCCAGGGGCACGGCATAATCCTCATATTTTCCGATATTTCCATCGATCCAGCCTGCCTTCTTCGACCCGGATTGTTCGTATCTTAATTAAATCGCGTTTGCTGCCTGGTTATTCAGCCGTGCCGAGATTCCCTGCATTAATGGTACATACTCTC